GCGGCAATGGCCATCGTAACGAAAGAAGAAAAACTTCATTTCATAGGCCCCTGCATTGCTAGGGTAGCTGTGTATTCCTTCTGTAATAGAAGGTCGCCTGGACAAGTAATAGGAATCATTGTCCTTGCTCTTCTTCAAGTAATACGAGTAGCCCAGCTCCAACGCAATCAGCTCGCCCAGCCCGTTCTCACGACACGCGATATACATGGCAACAGCAATAACATATGCGTTCAGAGTGAGCTGCATCGGTGCTATCCCGAAGTGGTCCAAGACCGACCTGACAAAAGGGTGGAATGGGATCAATCTGCCACCCTTGATGATCTCTTTGAAGATCGCGGCCAATCCATGGGATGGGTATCGCGACAAGTAGGCCACATCAAGGAAAACGTCCTCATCGATACCATACTGTTTTATCACCCTCTCGAGCTCTTCCCCAGTAAGCACTGAGTAGACCTCAGGGGTGATACTCGGAGCACCCTGTGAGGACGAACCGGTTCCTTCCTCGAATCTAGTCGTTGAGGGATCCATTCTGCTGGTCTGCAAAAGCGACAAACTAGAGGGTCATTTAGCTATCGTACGCTATTCCGTACGATGATGTGGAAGAAAAAACTCCCTAAAACCTAAAGAAAACCCTAACAGCATGATTCGAGCCGCCATTCCTGGCTCGAACCCGACATAGGCGTCTCGTCTCCAAATAGTTATTAGAAGACTAACGCCATTTAACCATGGAAAATAAGAAAACAAAAACAGAGAAAGATTCATACCTCTCGGAGTACGAAAATGGCTTCTGCTTCGAATATTGGAAGAACGCTGGTTTGGAAAGCAAAAACTTCAAGCTTGCGAAAATCTCTTTCTCTCTGCAAAAAGGACGAGTGTGGTGACATTGCTTGAGATCTGATTTTTATAGCGCTTGAAAAGACGTTTGGGCGGTAATATTTCTCACCGTTGATCACGACCACATGTCGCAAATCAGTAGGAAAGAGTGAACGCCACAATTGAAGAAAATCAAATCTTCATCTTTTCCGTTAAAAAGCTCAAGCGACGGCAGTCTTTCCCTCATAGCATTAATTGTGCTCCAATTTGCATTTAATGCTCTGATATGGTTTGTCATTTCAGCATGTCACACATTTAATGTTCTAAAAAATGGAACTGTGTTAGCACGCAACGCATTTAATGCGCTTGGTTGGCACTTACCGCCCACAAGACATGTCTGCTAGCGTGGACTGCTTCATTAAATGCACCTGTACTAAAAGTACAACAGATAAAGCCTGACGAAGTCAGGTCGCTCGTCCTTAACAAGCAATGACCATGCGAGGTCGTGTTCGCACAATAGCACTACTTCGACCTGTTTCTAAACAGGTCGGGATCACCAGAATTTCACAAAAGCATCTAGTCATGGCATGACTTGTAATTTCCAAGGTTCGATCCTCAAACCTTAAAAACTAGGGGACTTCTGTTATGCCCGAAAAATATAGGGCTGACTTAAGGTCCAATCAGCATACAAAAGTTAGAACATGGGTTCACCCGCAGTCTGCTTCTGTCAGAATAGTGGGTGCATGCCAAACCTGCCAGGAGCTGTGGTGATCTCACGTGTCCAATCCCTGCGCCAAATCGCACAAATCACTATAGAAGGTGGGCAATGTGACATAAAGAAGGATTTGCATGGATAATCCCACCAACTCACAAATTCAGTGATGATTGCCTTAATCCATCCCACTATAAATTGAGAGCTCCTCTCTCATTCAGGGGATTCGCACATTTTACTCTTGATTAGCTATTCTCTCTGTAATACGAAAGCTTTCTCTTTCTTGTACCATCATTTATAAGTCAGTCAGCTCATGCGACCTGACCTCTATCATTAATAATATAACAGTGGACGTAGGACTTGCTTTCTTAGCATCCGAACCACTTTAAAAACGCTTGTCTCATTGCATTTACTCTCATTATCCTTTATATTCACGTGTGTCTTTTGTGTCAGCTCAGCATTTCACACGTGCGTTTAGTTGGTGTAAAAATCACGCATCAACAAGAATTAACCTGTTAAATCTGCATTTCTCAATTATCAGTCCATTCCAAATATCACAACCATCACACCTCAAATCTGCCATAGCAGCCACCCAACCACCACCTAAAATCGCACCATTTCAATAATAAAAATAATAGTAATAATAATAATAATGAAAACAGAAAACAAAATACAAGAGCAAAAAACAAAATAAAAAAATCAAACAAAAAAAAACAAAAGAGGTCGATAGAGGGGTTTTGGTGTGGTGGCATCGGAAATCATCCCCAACGTGTGCAATGTGTTCTGTGTTGTGCTGGGGATGCAAACCCTTTTAATATTAGAGAAAGAAAACCCTTTTAAATGAGGCTACGTTACCTATAACCAATATATTTGCTTTGCTATATAGAGCTGTGCATGGTCTGTAAATTAAGATAGAGATAAAGCATTAGAAAGGAACATATCAGCAAATAAAAAGACAAACCGATTCCAATAATATATTAAATCTTGAAGAACAACATAATGACAACATCAATCATTTGAATTTTAGTGAATGTGAGGGAACAAACATGAATATATATATATAAATAAAGTTTTATTGAGATTTTGAGATATCACTATTTAATTATTATTAATATTTAGGTGAATGTAAAGAGACTAACTTAAATTTATATATCTTTTAATTAGACTTTTAGATGCTCAATAGTCAATATATGCTATTATAATAATAATAAATAACAATTCTAGAGCTGCAACTGAAATCCTAAGTGTATATTTCACATATTCATGAAGCGTTAGTATCTAAGAGCTGAATGTGGAGAGTAGGGGTCAGCACGGGTAGCGGGTAGAACCGGAATTGGGGGTAAGAACGGGAACCGGAATCGGAACCTACCAAGAACCTGCACTGTGCGGGTAGGTTCCGGTTCCAATTTTTTGGAACCACTACTGTACGGTTCCGGTTCCGGTTTCGGTTCTTGCATGTGGAGGAACCGGAACCGAAACCTGTAAAAAGGGTACCCTGTTTGGAACCTGTAGGGGGTACCCAGTATGGAATATGTTTTGGAACCTGTTTGAAACCTGTTTTGGAACCTGTTTGGAACCTGTTTTGGAACCTATTTGGAACCTGTTTGGAACCTGTTTTGGAACCTGTTTAGAACCTATTTTGGAACCTGGACTATAATGAAATATTTGTGAAATGTAAATAATGGGGGAGTTTCTATTATTTTACATATAAAAAAATTTAAAATAGAAAAAGTTAAATTTTTAGAATAACCTAATTAAATAAATATACGAATACAATTATACTTATTACATATAAATTACACCATATTAAAAGCTTTAATATATTATAATACATTAATATTAAAGTTTTGATNTCCAATCAGGTTCCAAAACAGGTTACAAACAGGTTCCAAAAATCGGTTCCAAACCGGGTACCCCCTACAGGTTCCAAACAGGGTACCCTTTTTACAGGTTCCAGTTTCGGTTTCGGTTCCTCCACACACAAGAACCGGAATCGGAACTGCACAGTATCGGTTCCAAAAAATTGGAACCGGAACCTACTCACACAGTTCCGATTCCGGCTAGATTCCAATTCCGGTTTTACCCCCCGATTCTGGTTCTACCCGCTATCCATGCTCACCCCTAAATTTTTAACTTTTAATTTGAAGTTCATTTAACTTTTAATTACATCCACTAACTGTCAATCAATCACATTCTAGCACATTAATTATAGAGACTTACAATAATTATAGAGCTCCTAAGATTCTATGTGACATCCTACATGAAATCCTACATACAGTTCAAATGACGATCGAGAGGGTGTGCTTCATAATTATATTAATATATAGGTATAGATTATTTCAATGGTTGTCTTTTTTATTTTTATTTTTCATTGTTTTATCATGATATTAAAGACTGAGTTTCTATTTTTATTTTTCTAAGTCCATATATTTACTATTTTCCTGTCATGGCCAAAACTTGCCAATCAAATCAGTCTTGTGAACTCAACCTGTTTTTCTATGTCCATATATTTATTATTTTCTTGTCATGGCCAAAACTTGCCAAACAAATCAGTCTTGTGCCGCGTGCAACATATCAAGAGATTTCAACGTTTTGCTAAATGAAAACTACACATTTAATATATTTACAGTTAATATGGTAAGTTTATCTTGCCATATTAATTGTTAAAATATGATTAATTAATTTTAAATTAAAATTAAATTTTTATCTAATCATCTTCTACCCTATAATATTGTATATGTAATATTATTCATATTCAATAACAAGACTAGAACAATTCTTAAATAAGCTAAAATGAATAAAAAAGTACCAACTCCATTTGACACACTCTTTTTCCACTATCTTATTTGAAAAAACAAAAAATACATTTATTTTAATATTCTTCAAAATCTAATCATATTCTATTCAACTCGAAACATTAACAATTGCCTCTCTTAATAAAAATTTAACAAAAACACCTCCATCCACCCAAGCCACTATCACCCGCCAACAACCACCACTATCGTCGGTCATCGCCACCACCATAACGACGTACAACTGACTGGATCTAACTGGTCGTGTGTCAATTTGTCTGTTTACAGCCATATCTTAACCGTCAACGACGACCAAGATATGGCTTTCAACGACAACTAGATCCATTGTGGATTTGGTTGGAAAGCTAGATCGATGCACGACCAACTAAATCCAACTAATCGTACGCCATTCTGATAGATTCCGATCACCTTCCGACAATGGTGGTTGGCTACTGACAATATGTGGCTAGATGAGAATATTTTCATCAATTTATAAACTTTTATTATGAAATGTGTTTAGTTAAATTAACAAACCAAAGAGGTTAAAAATAATCTAAATATTTTCAGAAAATATTTTGGAAAAATGTACCAAAAACTTCTCAGAATTTTATTGTATTTTCCAAAAATGCTATTCAACATAGAATGTTATTCTAAAAAAGTAACCGAACAGAGAACATCTATGATTTATATAAAATTAGTTATGGTAAAGTCATGGAACGCCAGATTTTCAATAAACAAGACAACATTTGACTATAATCTAGCGTATGAGAGATATACAATATTCATAATGGATACAAGATGAGAGCAATACGTTTTTTGTTTTCCTGGAAGTAAAAAGATGAGGTGACAATCAACGCCTGTACTCATCTCCACAGTCACCAATCACTTTAAGCAAATCCTTACCCTTGTTAGAAACTTCCTGTATGCTGTTCAGATCTTCTTCGTCGAGGGCAAGCGAAAATATGGCATTTGTGTCTTGTATATGTTCTGACAAACCAAGTCTAACTCCTACCATTGACCCTGCTACTGCAGGCTGAAAATCCACAAACAAAACAAAAACCAGAATAGATATTTTGAGTGCCCTTAAGCCATAACGAAAAATAGGGATACAAAAGAAAATCATAGTATTATTGGTGGATGAGCTCACCTGGTCTAGTATGTATCTCACAGCAACAACTGGGATTGACACCCCATGTTTTGTAGCTATTTTTTTTAACGTCTGAAGCAAAACTTGAAACTTACTCCATCCTCCCCAGGCATCAACCATCTGTCATATTTGTTTTATTTATTAGATGGAAAGATATTAAAGTCTATTGCTTATGTGCATTTACTTCTCACAAACATAGTGAATAGTTCTCAAGAATGTACTTATGCAAACCTTTATGCTTATGTTTCCCTACCATCTGTATGTATAACTGTTTGGTTTTACAGCCAATTTCCTAGGTCCCAACTTGTTGGGAAATTCCAAATTTTGAATTAGTTACCAAAATCTTATAATACCCATAAAACAAATTTATCAGTAAATAGGTCCAAGGACTTGGTACCCTTTTGTACTTTTGAAGGGAGGGAGTGTTCAATGGGGGGCCAGCAAAAGGAATGGCTAAGTTGGTATCAAGGAACTTCTCCGATAACAAACCACCCATTACTGTGCCGTACCTGCATATAGAACTCAAAAAAGTTCAGTACAGACAAATGCCTAGATTCCTACCAAAGGTAAGAATGTAAAATGAATATGAACAATGAATTTTGCTCATTCAGAATGAAATAATAGCCTTTCTCGCTCTTGTTCATTTATGTTCTATTTATTTATATAGTAGCAAATTCAAGAACTAACAAATTGAACTAAAAAATTCTTTTTTCATTAATTGGCATAATGATCCTAAATATAATAGAGATAAAACATAGAATTCTGTTGTAGAGGACTGTTAAAACATTTGTCATTCCACTTATGTGAAGGCCAAAGCGGCAGATAAAATCACTCAGCAAAAGTGCTCAAGCATTTGCGTGTCCATGAGCATGTGTCTACATGGCTGCATGTATGTGAGTGTGTGTATATGTGCATGAGAGAGAGAGAGAGAGAGAGAGAGAGAGAGAGAGAGACGTTATAAGTTTGACTCCTGTAAGCTGACAAAGCTCTGACATTCTCTGTTGAGGACGTACGTCAACAATCGAATGTTGCACCTAATGTGACCATAATACAGATTTTCACCATCAATAGAAACAGAAAACATGGGAATGTAGAATACTAAATTATTATTTTTTTTTCTATAAGAAGAAAACATAGGTTAAGGATAAATTCAATTAAAAATACCTGATTACTAACAACAGGAATTCCATTCTCCAGAATTATACGTAATCTTTCCGTATCAAAATTTGTCAAAGCAACAGTCTTTATCTTACCTGTAAAACACTCGCTAAAATAATCCGATCAGTTCAAGAGAAGTAGGTTCATATGCCCATGGCAAAATGAGAAAGTAAAGAGATAACAATAACCTTCTTCTTTCAGATCTGTAAGGTGCTTTAGAGCATCTAGATAACCCGGATTAGAGTAATCCCACCTATTTCAAGCAAAGATGTAGAGAAATGCAATCAGTAAGACAAAATTGAATAGCACTAGAAATTTGATCGTAGTAATTAAATTCCTGGAAAAATAACCCAATAGCAGAGCGTATGATATGGTGAACCAATAATTAGTACCAGTGAAACTGAAGCATGTCCAAGCTAGCCACATCCATTCTCCTTCTTGATACATCGATGCTCTCTCTGACATAACTACTCGTCATCTTAACTGGTGGAGGCACCCATTTAGTGAGACTGCATCATATGTAAGCAAATCTATAAGACTTATAGTTCTTTTGTCTCTCTTCTAAATACTATATTATAGTTCTTAAATGTTGTTAAATAACTAAATAATGTAGATAAAAATGCATACAGAATTAGCAATCTATGAAGTAGAGAGTAATTAAATCTATCGATAACAGGGTAAGAAACAGAATTCCAACATCTAGAAGTTGCTGTAACTCACCCTCTGACCTTATCCAGTAACTCTGGTGGACCCTCTCGACGAATTCGATTGATAAAGATGCCATAAAGATCTTCAGCAGGCCCATCTACAAAACCAAAGGAGCAAATAATGATAATGAGCTTCCATCTGAAAGGACTAATTTAGCTGATGCAATCCCATATTAAATGCAAGATAATCCAACAAAAATGAAGAAGGATCACTATTTAACTATCTAATGGCTATTTGAGAAAAAAACTTTTAAATCAATGCTAACTAGTTTCAAGCTTCCTCACTAAAAAAAAAAAAATACAGTTAGCGACTCTGATGCACAAATACCATCCATGCTAACATCCCATTGTTTTCCAATTCGCTTGATAACAACACAAACACATGCATGTGATGCAAAGACTTTACATATATCGGCCATATCAAAAGTGGTGAGTCCAGCATTTGCATAATGAAGCATAGAATCAACTGCATTGTCTGTATCAATTCTACCCCATCCCCCACTTGTCTGCCACATCCCATTCACAACCTTACATATATCTAAGATATCCTTCCCATTCTTAACCACACTTCTCCGTTTATCCTCAGTAAGCGCACAGCAAAATGATCCCAATTTCACTTTTCGGACTCTGGTACTTCCTTTCGTTTTCAACTGTCCTACATTGAAGGTGAGATTGCAAAATGAGGGGTGCACTAACTGTGCCATTTTCAAATTGATCAAGTCAAATATTCAAAGCCAACAGAAAACATGTAAAGGGTATTCCTCTATCTTACAAAGTACGAAGTAGCTTTATCTTATTTGCTCTCCACCGTTAATTTCTCAAACTTCCCAAGTTACAAATATGTAAAAACAAAGGGACCCCAAGAAAAAAACAAAAAAAAGGTTTTATGTGGTTATTCATTCATAATACGTGGATAAAACTAGATGTGACACGTCATCACTAATAGATAAAAACAACTTGTCGTCAGAGAAGCTCTAATCACTGTCCAGTAAATAAGCACCACGTCGACACCAAAATCTCATAAAAAAGATGTAGGGTTTTGTAACGTACAGTGATCGGCCATGTCGAAGGTGGTGAGGCCGGCATCGGCGTAACGGAGCATGGCTTCAACAGCGGCCTCTCGGTCGATGCGACCCCATCCGCCGCTGGTTTGCCACATGCCGTTCAGTACTCTGCATATATCGAGCGAATCGTTGCCGTTGCTCACAGTAATTAGGTGCTTGTCGGAGGTTGCCAGCTGGCAGCACCTGACAGAGTTGGCTCTGAGTCTGCGTGAGTCGTGGCGAGGCGTCGTAACAGCCTTGGATTTGAAGGCAGCAGGGAGATGAGGGAAGACATTGTGTACTGTCACTGCCATTGCACTTGTCTGGACTAAAGAGAACTCAAAAATGGTGATAACGTTTTTTTATTTTAGCGCCCTGTGTGCCTAATTCTGTGTTATGTGTGTGAAATGACCCAAAAGACACTTATGCCCACTCTTTTTTGGGAGAAGTTAATTTGAAGAGAAAATTATGTCAATTTCAAATCTCAAATTATCTTACCTTTATTATTATTATTATTTTTTTTTTTTTTTTTGGTCTAAATAAATCTCTTGGTTTTTAAGACATTATTTCGTTTTCAAACATAATATTTTTTTAATCATATTAAAAATCTCTTAATTATGATAAATAATTCTAAAGTAGTGTACAATATATGTAAATGCTATTCAGCCCTCCAATATATATATATATTTTTTTTTTTTCCTGGTTTTGCCCGTATCACAATCGTTACACGAAATAACTAAAGAGGAAGAGCACAAGTAAAGCATAGAAACAAAAAATCAATACAATTATAGATCTTTTATAAATATTCAAGAGGAGAACTACCGATATCATATCATTCCTCCGCAAATGGTCAAAAAAAGAAGATATATGCTAGAATAATTTTCTTTATTTTCTAACCAATTTCTATTATATGTTTTAACGTTTTATCTCTATTGCACAACTATACATTATATTAGTTCTAGTTTTAAAATCAAATTATGTCACTGCACTGCACTGGTATTAGAGATTTACTTAATTTACTCTCATGGACACTTGCAATATACATATGCAACATAATGTTTCAAATGTGCAAAGGACATCAAAGTGCATAAAGCAGTAGAAGTTTAAGAGAGAAACTGATTATACATTCATTTCACAACTTCCATGCGAGAATCCGAGGAATTCTTCACACAACTTGATAGCAAGTGAACTTCATTGTTCCCGCTGTTTGGTCACTAGTCTCACTATCCTGCGCTCCATCTACATGTCGAATTCGAAACAAGAATGAATTACAACAAATGGATGAGACCCGTAGCAACAAACTACGCATGCATTTTACAATATGACTACAATTATATTATTATAAATTGCATAACCTTACAGAATAAGTTTTAGGAGGCAGGAACTTGATGTTATTAAATAATTACCTTACATGAACATCAGACAAATTTATTATTATGATTTATAAAAATATCATCCATTCTACCAATGAAATTATGTTGAATGATTATATATATTGCATATAACATGAAAATCCGATGAAATAATTTTCATCCAATGTTTCGTTTCTAGTTTGTAGCTAAAACATGTTAAACTGATCAAAACAATTATTACTTTTAAATGTCAAAGCAATAACTATTGATAGGAAATGTGAACCTTCTTGTAACATAAAATGCTAAAATTACAACTTAGCCTATACTCCTTAACCTCCATTTTTTTATATACTCACTATAAATTAAGCATTTTCTGAAATTATGCATAGAAAGGATGTGGAAAGCTTTAACCAATTATTTCGTCATTGCCCAATTGCTTTAACTAAGTTCCTATCCTGGTTGGTGGCTTATGGAAAGGTTAATATAGGCATATAGCCAATTTTTGTTCAAAAAAGGTGACTCGAAGCGGGTCTCTCACCAAAATGTTTTGTTACATGTAAAAATGATGTGGAAAACATCATTTATTCTTCATAGCCCATATGCTTTAACAATGTTTTAAGATCTTTAACGGTGTTGAAAAAGCTTAGGGGATTCCAAAATCTTGTGTTTCATAATTTTTAAACATCATGATGCATTTGAAGGAGAGAGGTTTGGTTTAATGGAGATGTTGCTTTTCAAATGTTGAAAGGGTCATTTGGTACGAAGGGATAATTGGATTTTAGAAGATTCAATGGAAGAGGATATGTATATTACATTTTTTGTTTTACAAATCATAGCGCATTAAATGGAAATGTTCCAGTAAAGTTGCAATGATAAACCCTACTTTAGTCATATCTTTCTATGATTCTCTTACCGAAGAGTCATGTAAAAGAAAGAAATACCTGAGCAATAGCCTGCAATTTGTTCCGAGTAAGAGCGAATTCATACTTTATCCAATTCAAGGCTTGAGAGAAACTGAAATGCAGATATATACAGCATAACAGAGTAAATAGGAGGGTGAATAATTCAAATATCAGTGATACAAGTTTAGACTCGAAAGAAGAAATAATAATAATAAAGGTAAATTTTGGAAATAATTACTTATAACCCCTTTTTAGGTGTCAAAATAAAAATGACCTAAATTTTTGGGGACTTTTAAGAGAAACCTCTCATCTCATTTTTTTCCTAGTTTACTCGTCTTCATTACCAGATAACAGAATCAATCTCAACCCTTGTCGAGTTTGTTTATCATCTTTTCAGATATTTTAACATTCCAGATCAATTTGTTCCACTTTATTCAGTGAAAAGGCTAAATTCTACCCTAAATGCAAAAACACCACTACATATAACAAATGAACACAAAACACTTTAAATAATCTCAACCACAAACATAGAATTAAAAATACCCTGAATCAGGAACCTTAGCTCAAGTTTAAGATATTTCACAAAATAAAACGAAAACACAATGTGATTAATGGTGAAAATGATTGTTCAATGGTATGAAAACTTTATTTTTGAAAAAATTGTTCTAAGCCTACATCTCAATTCCACTTTCATGGCAATTGGGATGTAGGCTCAGAACAAAATGGAAGAACCCTACTAAAGGACCCCTTTGAATATGGTCATTTTTAGTTCACCACTCTGAAAATGGTTCTTTAAGTGAATTTTCAATTTAGAATGTTAAGAAAGGTATGGATACCAGGTTCAACGATGATGAAGAAAATTTTTAAGATAGAAAAAATGTGGGGAAGACAAATGTGGATGAGGGTCAATGAAGAACAAAGAGACACATATCCTAAAATTCTAGGAGCAAATACCTCAATCTCTATGCATCCAATTACTATTAGTGCATCAACGCAATTATATCCATATACATCACATTACATGGATATGTATTTAAAAGAAAATATTATATATCTAAATCTTAAATTACGTTATATTTTAAGCATTGTACATCTAGTTTATTCCCAACTCTGACACAGATGAACTGGCACAAGGAAACCAACTCATGGGGTTATACTCTATAGTTGGCAAGAGAAAAATAGTGGCAAGCCACATATAATATGGAACTTTACATTCTCAAGATCTGGAATTGAATTTATAGACTTTTTTTTTTATGCTTTACACGGTTCATTTTAATGGATATCGTGAGAATTCATACAGAGGAAACTGAAAAAAAGACAATGTTAAATCTAAATTTGTAAAACATTAAATAATACAGAAAGGTCATTTTCTGGGCATGTAGGTGTTCCAACTAAGACACCACTCTTAATATGTATAGTGCCTAAGTTGCAAAAAATAGTCTGAAGGAGTTTCATCATTAATAAATGTTTTGTCTTATAAAAAAGATATGATATCTTCTTTTGCATCACCAATAACTCCCTCTTTAGCGACTGATATCATTGTTTGGGACATAGTGGTTCATGTCTAGATCTAACATGAATGTTTAATCTTGTTAGAGAGGAACTAGCACACAGGGAAAAACATTGATATAATATCACATGCTATTTCTCATTGTAATGACAAATAAGAGTTGAAGGTCAGATAGAACCATGAAAGATTCCGCAAGCATGGCAATCTAAACTGCCTCACTTTTCCCTTTCTCATTTGTCGATATTCTCGATATTTTTAGACATCAGATTGTAGGTTTTGGTGGTACTTATGCATGTGCCCTTTGTACTTAGGCTTCTGCCCTCTTTTGGTGTTTCAGTGATCTTAGAAAAACCTACTTAAGTATCAAACATGCATCGATGTGTGCATGTTGGAGAAAGAAAAAGCCATCCATGTCTTGTCTATACTAATGAGTAGTGAATATAAAAAATAAAGAAAGAACAAAACGGAACCTGATTCTTTTTTATCTGTCAAAATAACTCAATTTCAAACTAAAAGCAGTGCATTGGATAAGGACTTCTTACTTTTTGGTGTGCATTTGGTCACAAGCCTGAATAAGATCACCACATGCAAGTCTCACACGCTCAGCACCAATACTGCCAAATACAAAAGATCTGATCTGTATTGTCAATAGCCTAGTGAAGAATATTTCCACTTGAATTATGAGAAAAATGAACCATATAACAAAATGGCATAAGCATTAAGCAACTAAAATTACAATGAAAAAAAATGGCACAATTTCTATGCATATATCATGTAGAACATCTTAAAATTTTTAAAACAACATCATAACAAGGAAAATGTTCAGTCATACAGATTTAGTCAATTACCATTTTACCTAAAAAAGTTAAAAGAACATCAGAGTTCAGCATCCTATCATCGCAACCTGTAAAAACGAACATATAACATGCAGAATCATCTACTCCATTAATGTGGTTCACAAACAATGCAAACTGTAGCACAAAATTATCTTATATACATAATTTACTTTTGCTGATAAAGCATCACATGGAAGCATCTAATCCCTAAAATTTATGGCATGCTAGGAGGGTATATGTAAAAAAGCAGAGCAGATTCACAAGTTCGTGTCATGTTGAACACAAATCTTACATTCTATACATCGACTCTACATATAATGCTTTTTAAATTCATCAAAATAAACTAGCCCAAAAAGAATACAATACATATATATACTTGACCTCTTTACCTTATTGCGCAATGAAGATATACAATATAATGGCAATGAAACAGCTAAAAAAAAAAAAGAAAAAGAAGAAGAAGAAGATAATTAAATGATTACAAACAAAAGATTGAAAATAGGCAACAAGTCATATTAAGAAACATTAAGAATATAGCAACATAAAAAACTTCCGTAATATGAGAAATGTGAGTGTAATTACTTGCCATAAAAGCAGATGTATGCTTGCCAGAAATTACTTTGGCATCCATCAATACAGATGCACTAGTATAAGAGAGTATAATATCCAGACAAGCTTCATAAAGTAAAGAAATCAACAGCAAATAACAAAAGCAAGGGAAAGACAAATGGGCAGTGAGTGTGTTCAAGATAATATCCAGCATATAGATTTAATATGATTGGAACTGGTGAGAAGATCTCTCCACAAATCAGTGCAGAGCAGATAGAGAGAACTCTTGTCTGAGGATATACTAATAACAAAACGGCAGAAAAATGAAATCTAAAGGAAAAAGTTAGCAGTGTATAAAGCGTCATTACAAAGCAAAAACATACATTAACCTAGTTGAAAAAAACAACTAAAAGACAATCTTCATTAAGTCCCAATGACCAATTAAGGTAATGCCAACAAAGGCATCTAAGCAAGGGCCCACTCATAGAGTCGGGCAAGCCAGATGGACTTGCTAGCTCTAATGTTATTTATATGTTAAATTTGATGTGAAAACTTCCAATATCATCACTCTCCACGAACATAATAATTTAAAGATAAATGGCAAACAACCATAGACCCAAGAAGAAATAATCTAGACAGTAAGATATATTTGAAGGAGAAGACAATAATAAATCTATGTTATACAAATAATTTATTATTTTTCCCATCAAAAAGGCATATATAAAGCTGGAACAAAAATAATATTCAAATATATTTACATAACTAAGCACAAAAGGACAAGGCATAAAAGGAACACTAAAATTATTGAAGCCACGTGTTTACCACGGTGCACCTATTCCTTGTCCCTTGGCCACGATCAAGGGCACCTTGTATCAAGGCAATAACCATCGTGATTATTGGCTTGAAACAAGACGTTAAACAACTTTTCATATTATGCCCATCTTAAAACAGATCTAAACTCCCTACAAGCCACAGTAGCCTGACTACATATGTACCATGTACAAGTCACAGAAATATGCATTTCCCACCAATGGTCCCTCATTTTTTCCATTCTTAGACATCAGTAAATATCACTTTTTTTTAATTAATACCCAAAAAAAGAAATTTAAAGCACAGTTTACCCTGAGCTTCTATCCTCGACTTGTCGGGCCAGTACAGCCAGCTGGGAGTAATCAACATGAGAAAGGTTGCTGCAGATATGCAATACAAGTTAATACAACACAAAATAAACAATAAATTAGATAAATTTAGAAAGTGAAGGTACATGCAGCTTGTAAGTTCTGATAAGACTGCTTCCACATTCATGCAGTAGGTATTGATCAACTGCTCAACAAAATCAGGTTCCTCTATTCTTAAAGTCTGGATGTGAGAAAACTGTTCATTTAAGACGCCCTGGAAGGAATGACATGTAAATCATCATATTAGCATTCCCTTCAAAACAAGAAATAGTGCTGCATGTCATCAAACATTTAACTATAACTCAAGATATAAAACATGCTTGAGCATGAAAAATTCTGCATTATGAAAATTACCATCCAAAACCATGATTATAATACACAAAATAAAATTCAAAGGTAAAATACAATACATGAACATATATTCTAACAAGTTTATACAGCTCTGAAAAGATCAAATGGCATAAATTCTAGCAAAAGCCCCCCACAAATACATAAGAGTTAAATGCAGCCTTAGGAAAACAAATACGTGAAACAAAATTAAATCCAAATTCATAATCTGTCACCTCATCAACCAAAGAATCAACATAGTGTTGAAGAAGTCCTTTAACAATTGACAAAGCCATTTCTGACAAAAAAAAAAAAAAAATGGAAAAGAGAAACCTAAATCACTAGATTAGAAGCAAGCTTAAAGCTATTGTGAAAAGAAAATGACTTTGCATGCGATGCATCCACTTCAGTACAAGTTTCATAGGTAGCATATGAAGACAAATTACGTGGCTGAGACACCACGAGTTCAGCATGACAGCTTATAGTTTAAACACCTATCATTTGCAAATTAACATCAATGCCATTACCAATCAGAAATGATAAAACATTTTTCTGCCCCTTTTGTCTAACCATGAATTAAATCCTATATATGATTGATCAAATGATTTATAAAAACTGTGTGCCCCAATGTCAGTAAGTAGCTTATTTACAATGCTGGACTACTAAGATTCCTTATCTTTAAGGGACAGCAAAAGAATGACACATTAAACACATGATAGTAAACCACTCTCAAATGTAACGTGAAATAGTTTACTCTCTGTGTTTTGAAAGAAGCCACCAAAAATTTTTTTTAGCTTTACACAATAGCTTTGCTGATGTAAGACATTTGGCTGGATTCATAACTAAAAGCTACAAAAAGTAGCATGAATTGAGCCAAGTCCTTCCCAACTGCAACCAAATGTACTGTGATCAGATTTTAGAGATTGTAAACTAACAAACTAGAAGATAACAATTTTAAAAAATCACTTCATGAAAGAAATACTGAAGATATGTACTATGTCACCTGATTTACAATTTAATGAAAGTGGTAACATTTTTGGTAGGTCATGGCTTGGGTAATTCTACACCCTTTCAAGTGGGTCCTATCCTGACACCATAACAAGCACTGTGGGCCCCATCCATGTCCTTTGTTGGTTATAATACATCAAGACCTTTGATGCATAGCTTAACTCCAAAAACTATATGACCTGTCAAGATGAACCTATATACCAATCTAGCAATATAACTGTAAATTAAAGTTGGCTAGTAATTACAGTTGTATTCAATCATTACATAAGCAGTATAAATGGTAGCTGTGTTAAACACCTTAGTTACCAAAAATAACACAATTACCAAATATAATTTCTACACTAACATCTATGCTGTTTTAAGTTCTGTCAAAGTTTTTTTTTTTTTCTTTTTTTTTAATAAGAAACTATTAAACTATAGTAAAGAAGAGATTGAGATAAGTACACCAAGTTTTTATTGAAACACATTATTCGGTATTAAACACTAAAACCAAAATAGATAAAAATGATAATGACAGAGCATGTATTCACAACTGGAACTCCATGCTCAATCAGCATAGAACAAGTAAAGACACACAAGTTTTAGCATATTCCAAGGACACTTAAAACAAACAAATTCCATCTTTCTCATGATCAGATTAAACTTATTTGAGAAGTGGCACAAGGAAAAAAATGCAAGTCCAACAACTGTGACATATTCAGAAGGTTATACTCATTAAGCAATGGATGTATGGATATAATAGTACCCAAAATACAATCAATTCCCACCCTAAAGAGCATAAACCAAGTTATCAATAGAAGCTTGATTTTTATATTCTCGAACGAAAACATCCAAATATATCGTAGTAAATGCACCTATATTATGCATAAAGGATATTGAAAAATAAAATCTGGCGCCTGATGATAAAATTGCTGAAGAAAAACAAAAAGAACAGGAGAGTGAGTGCTTGGGAAACATGCAATGCCAATTCTGACTCAAGCTAAAGAGACCAACAAGTCAATAACTATTATTCATCCTCTTAACATATTGTCCCAACTAACTTAACTGTATTCATATTTATTACATTAGCTACCAAGAAGTTAGAAAACAATTCTACTCCCTTGGTTTTTAACAATAGTAAGTCAAATATATAAATTATGACAATTGCTGTTGTATATATATCATTTTATCTAGATCCAGATGTTTAGCCCCATGTGATTCTAGTTTTCGCAAAAATCTAATCAACTTTTTTGTAAATCTCCATTCCATATTACAAGTTCTCATTTCTTAAAACACAAAAAAGTTCTAGTATTAGACTACTTTAACAAATACGATCATAGATAATACAACATCAATGCATTTACTTTAAGTTTCCTTAGAAGAAATTCGCCGCTACACGCCATTAGTCACAAAATTAATCATCCCTAATTCAATTATTTCCTCACCAACAAAATTTTTGAATATTTAAACATTGATAGCACATAAGGAAATTATTGCAAATTTAAAATTCTATTTTATATTTGTCTAAGAGATTCTATTAAAAAATAGAAGTCCACATAAAAACCTATAATAACATCTTATAGTAAAATTTATCATTTCCACATTATCTGTTTTTCATCTCGTTCCAAATATTCATGTATTGACTCCAATATACAACTCCAATTAATCACCATTATATTTTCAATTTTAACCGCCACTAATATAAACTAACAAACAAACCATATTACTAGATGGATATCTAATAGCAGTACTGATACCGTTTCCAGATTATTCACAGTATCTAATAACTCTAGTGATTGCCGTTAAAGTTTCAGCTTTAGGTGACCTGATACTATAACACTAAGAGGATTCAAATTTTACTGGTGAATTATCCTGATTAATGAAGGTGTCACTAAACATGTAGTGGCCATGCTAATGATGTCTCATCATTGGTAGAAGGACTAAAAGTCTTGGAGTTTGCTTTTTAACAGTGGTCCAAAAGGAAAAGACAAAAAGAAGAAAAAATGAGGGGAAAGAGAGTGAGTGCATGCATCAGAGAAAAGGGCAATGCATCTGAACAAACAAATAAATCAATTTTTTTATCGTACCTATATAAACTTCATGACAATCAATAGATTCAAAACCATTACAAAATAAATTGAGTTGCATCTGACAATATAATTAAGATCTCAATCTCATCTTACAAGGAAACAAACTTGGACATGATATCTGTCATCAGCTTGCAAGAATTAATCATTCTCATCTATTATGCTGCCAGAAAAAGATTCTCTACTTTCACATGAATTTTGATTAATTCATTTATCAAGAAATTTCTTTTGGCGTGGACAAGTATTTCCTGTTTTATCATCAATACACGGATTATTTTCTATTTTTTTACGGTCATTTATCTACTTGCTTTGCTAGAGTTGCCACTGGATAAGACAAATACATCTCATTGAGCTTCATCTAGAAATAATTAAAATATGACAAAAGGATTTGAGGTTGTATGAAAGAGGACTTGTTTAGACTGCTTGAGTAATATTTTCCTATTTATGGCAATAGTGTCTTGAAATAACCTACATTGCCATATCATAAGTACCACCTCTTTTGGCAGTATTTGCTGCCTTGATAGAGTTCTAGTTCTCAGCTGTCAAATTCAAATCTTTGAAATTATAAGTACTAATTCACTTGTAAATCCTCCCAAAACTTTCTTCTAGTATTCCAATGCAAATTAGTCTCACCTCATTCACATGAAAAATGAGTTTAGATGTGTAAATTAATATCCAAAATTATGTAAAAGTTTATTTTCACAAGTTCTCTACAGCAATGATTTGCTGAAAAGCAACTTCAACAGACTCGAATGCTAAAATACTACTAGAAAATACCATTCAAATGACTTTACGTCTCCAAGGATTGAGAAATGAGTGAGTTGATTTCAAATTACCTTGAAAAAGAAAAAGAACCACATCAGAAAATATGAAGAGAATCAATTGCTGTGGAGTAGAGGTTAACAATAGGAAAAAGTGCTAGCACACAAAATCTGCCAAGACAAATAATCTGAAGTAGGGTGGGATAAGCATGTCTCCAAACACCTTCACTAGCAACATTTACTATCAAAACCAGGAAAGTCAACTCATAGAATATTATAACTAGATGTATTTTTTCCGAATCCTTTAACTTCCCTTCTTTTTATTTTTCACTCAGAAAAGTTTAAGAATTGGAATCAATATCCCACTGATCTTAGCTTTTACTTTTGCATAATCAGTCTTATAACATTTCAACTTTCTGTAAACGGGCCCAGGCTTTTTCCAGCCGTTCAATGGCCCCTCCCTGCAACTTTTAAGCAAATTTTTGCCACACAATTATAGGCATGAGGGTGAGGTTAAGTTTAAACAAGTTAAGGTAAAATTTTGTTATTGATTTCATTGGGATAAGTTCAACAGTACCTAATAGAAAAAGCCTAATCAACGGTGAAAGTTGTGATGATGTTTTCCATGATGAACATTAAAATGAATACAAGATGCATTCTCAGATAAAATGACCAATTTGAGCACAAACCAAAATTTAGATATATAAGAGTTTAATGACGAACATTAACTTGAATACAGGATGAGTTGTCACATGCTATAAAGACTTACCAATTTAGCAACAGAAACCAAAACCTTGATGAACATTACTTGAATACAAGATGTGTGTCAAACACTTAGCAATTTAATGGCAGAAACCAAAGCCTAGATATAAAACGGTTCCAAATAAATAATAGTAAGAATAATTGAGGGAACTGCAAAACAGTCCTATGTCATTAGAGTCAAGAAGTTGATATCATCTTCTTTAACTAGCCTAAAAACCAAATTCGATCTTACAAGATATTAATTCTCAAGCTTGAGGTGTATACAACAATTTTCCATTTGGAGGAAGAATTACTTATTTTTCTTATATATTGTAAAAATAAGCTATTCCACACCATATGTTAATTTAATAACTTATCATACTAACAAAAATGGTAAGAGTTTCCTACATAGGTATCCCAGGTTTAATTGACTTCTACTCATGGTACAAAAGGAGGGAGGGTGGCAAGGATTAAGTCAACAAAACAAAAACAGCTTCAATAGTAAGAGTTTCCTCCTCTCCAACCAAACCTAAAGAGATCCAATGTCAGTAAGTAGCTTATTTACAATGCTGGACTACTAAGATTCCTTATCTTTAAGGGACAGCAAAAGAATGACACATTAAACACATGATAGTAAACCACTCTCAAATGTAACGTGAAATAGTTTACTCTCTGTGTTTTGAAAGAAGCCACCAAAAATTTTTTTTAGCTTTACACAAT